CCACCAAAGACAATTGTAGGCATGCCATAATGACTGGTGACATATTTGCAGTACATGCCACATACATCATTGTAAGTGATTCCACGAGGCCATGGTAAACGCTGCAGTAGTGATCCACCATCAAGCATATTGTCATGGTGACTGATTAACGACACCCATTGTCTGAAGAACATTTGATTGCAAAGGCTCATTACCCTGGAGCCATGACATCTATATGCCTTGAAACATTTAATTGCTGTTATTTATAAGATGCTAATCCTAATTGTTAATCCCCAGTTTTGTGTACATCGACCGTCTGCCATCCTGAACAGTATGTGCAAGTATGTCACTTATGATTTACTGTTTACATTTATATTTATTACTTACTAAATGTCAGGTGACCTTGGCTATATAAGCCTTGGTCCAGAGAAGGAGAGAAGAGAAGAGAAGGAGAGAAAGAGGAGAGGAGAGGAAAAGAAAGGTCTTACCCTTAGCCTAGCTAGGGTTAGGCTGGGTGCTTCCGGGGCACCTAGACAACAACCACTACCACTATGTGCTGACCTGACACATAGTGTCTTTTGTATGTATATATCTACATGTATAAAGTAAAACTGTATATACCGCAAGCCATCGTCTCCAAGTTGTCACTTCCTACTGAGAACCATACGTCGGCCCCTTGCATATACGAGTATGCAAATCGTTCATTAATCAATGTCGGACCGACACGCGTTGTTACTTTGGTGGAGCTATCGGGTATGACAGACTTCTTAGTCTGTCCTTTCCTGTACCTCATTGCAGCATGGCATATGGTTCACAAAACTGTAGGAAGTGACAGTCTCTTATTAAAAGGATATACTACCTTCCTGGAGGCCAGTCACCAAGAACGAAGAAATGGCCTTTAACAAGATTGAAGAAAGAACGAGAACCTCTCCGATCAAGGACAAGTTCTCCGATCCCAAACCTTCCCTGCTCAAATATCTAAGCAACACTGCTAAGACTTCCCCTTCAAGATGTCGTTCCTGCACACTGTACAGGACCAAAGAAGTATACACGCCTATCCCACAGAGATCCGACCACAGCCATCCATCATCATGCAGACCCTGCACAATACAGAAACCGCCTCACGGGCACCTACAAGATGGACACTGTGTACAAGATATCTCATGGGGACTTATTAATTTGTGTTTACTTACATGGACTCAATCAAGGATATATATTGTGTGACTGTTGAATATTGCAACCAGGTATGTTTAATCAAAGCCAGTATATTAATGCCAAAATGTGTCGTTCAAAAATTCAGTTTTATATATGTGCAATATACTCCAAATTACATCTTTAGTCAAGCTAGATCTTTGAAGTTATTGTGTAGGGAATCTTTGAAATGTCTCCAGGCCACGCCAGACATATAGATACAGCTAGGGCCCAGACAAACCTAAGCTGTAGGGTTATCGAGTCACACCTTAAAGCTCGACTCGTAATTTCAAAAATCTAAACGACAACATTTGTAATTTGTTACAAGTAATTAATGTGCACAGTTTGGTACAAAATTGAATGTATTGTCTAGGACTTTGAATTCAGATTAGGGATATTCATGGGTGAGCCACCCCCACACATATGTTTATTGTATGTCAGTATTAAGTAATTAACAGCACAGCAGTATTCAGCATTTCAGAGTTTTGATGTCGGAATTAAGGATTTTTTTTTCTTGGGCATCGCACCCACAATATCTGGGCAAGCTCCGTCAAAGACACGGGAAGAGCACCCATTGTACTTAAAATAGCAATAGTACCCACAAGTACCGTTTGAGTCACGCGGTAAAGCTAGACTCCTGGTTTCAAATTTCTTTATGCGAAATATTTGCTGAGATGTTTAATTTGTACTTTTTATGACATTACTCATTATCATTATTCGGTACTGAGTCGCACTGCCAAACTAGACTCCTGAATTCAAAGAACCTTCAGTGATATATTTATTGAATCTGTGCAAAGCAGTAATTACCTTGTAGTGAAATTGCACATTACAAAGATCACTTGGTTAGTTTTCAAACTGGCACTAATTCAAATTGGCTAGATGATCACTTTCATACCGTCATTGTATAGATATATTTGTTGCATAAGGATTTCATATAACTGATTTTGATCACATGGTTGTTTTCGTTGGTGAAAAAACTCACACATCAATTTGGACTCATATAAGCTTGGGGTCCAAGCTTCACGTAACGGAGGGAAGTTGTCATGGTGACTGATTAACGACACCCATTGTCTGAAGAACATTTGATTGCAAAGGCTCATTACCCTGGAGCCATGACATCTATATGCCTTGAAACATTTAATTGCTGTTATTTAAAAGATGCTAATCCTAATTGTTAATCCCCAGTTTTGTGTACATCGACCGTCTGCCATCCTGAACAGTATGTGCAAGTATGTCACTTATGATTTACTGTTTACATTTATATTTATTACTTACTAAATGTCAGGTGACCTTGGCTATATAAGCCTTGGTCCAGAGAAGGAGAGAAGAGAAGAGAAGGAGAGAAGAGGAGAGAAGGGGTTTGACTCTCTTACCAAGCAGACCTCTCTCCCACAGCCCAGAGTGTTGTACCGACCCTCAGTTATTATCTAAGTATATTGTAAATTGTTAATTGTTCTTGTAAATAAAATTGTGATTAGTCTCCTGTGACTCTGGCTCTTTGCTGACTAATTCCCCAAGAAAACCAGCACGTCATTTGGAAGGTATTGTTCACCCAGAACAGTTCCATGATAATATACTGAACTTCTTTTGGAATCAGAAGCGAGTTCCTGACATCAAACCTTTCCCATGTGGCTTTAGAGAGAAGTGGTTTGTTAGCTTGCTTCAGTAGAATAGTGGAGTCAAACAAAGAAGTTGGTTATGTACACAGTTCATACAAGGTTCTGTCAAGGTGTCTGATGTATCACAAGCTGCTGTAACTAGTCTCTGGAACAAGAGTAGAGGGTTAACAGGTTCTGCAATTTCCTCACCTTAAGCAGATGGTCTGCAATATCATGTCACAGCTTGATTGGATTTCTTGATTGAAAGTCAGATACAATTTTGCCAGACATTGAATTCAAGATCATCGATCCAACACTTTTTGCTTCATCTGCGTTGACTGTGTTATTAGTTGCGAAGCCATTTGCAATATTTCTGAGGACAGGGTCTTCATGAAATGGATCTCGATCAGCGAGGTAGTCTACCAGGTTTTTCACATCTGATGTATTTCTGTGAATCCTTGCCATGGTCATATCTGTATGCTGTTCACTGCTTCTGTTTTCAACCTGAGTCAACTCTTGCATTGTATTGTTTATCTCCGTTCAGACAGGCATGGGCATCAGCCATACAAGACGTTGTGTCTCGTTCATTCCAGTTCCTCTTGTTAGTCCACCATTTGTTTTTAAATTTCACATGAGGACTTGTTCGATAAGTAGATCAGAGAATAGACCCCCCCAGAAGCGATTAGATTGTCGAACAACGGGGTGACCATCCTCACACAACTTGTGAACTTCTGGATGCATTTCTTGCAGTTGTGCCATCATGGAGTATGGGAGTATATGGTATATGGATTTGAGATGGAGACTCCTATTGCCAGTTCTCTCAACTCGAATGAAACTCCTTAGGATATCCACCATCTCCATGTATTGCATCCAGAGCTTTGCTGTTCTCAAGTTCTTCATGGGGTCCATCATTGTTTGAAGTTTGTCGACAACTCTCGACAAGGCATTGGATGAGCTAACATCATCAGTAGAAATAGTTCCACTAATCAAATCATCAAATAGAGTACATGTGTCTGTGAGATCTTCATTGTCAGGTGAGCAATCTGGGTGTTCCTTTGTCGCTTCACTACTGGTTCCTCTGACAATTCCCCCATTGGTTCTCTCATGAGTGAGTGAGTGTGTGACTTGGGTATAACGCTGCTTTTAACAGTATTCCAGTTATATCACGGCGTGTCAGCTTAATGTGGGAGGAAAGGCCAAAGTGATGCAGTTCTCAGACGTGTACGACTTTGGTGAAGCCCATGGGCACGGCTATGGTGCTGACAAACCTAGAAACATAATCGGGGCGAACCGGGATTCGAACCCACAACCATAGGTTTCTGGCGTGCCTAAGGGTCGCAACTCTGCACAGCGAATTGCGGCGCCTTAGACGACTGAGCCACCCATGCCCCCCGGTTCTCTCATGATCTCTTGGACTTGTCCTTCAAACTTCTGTTCAGATTTGTTTGTTGAAACTTGAAAAACCTTCGCTACCAGCAAAGCCTTCACACTGGTATCTACAAAGACATGTGCTCTTGCCATTGCCTTTACTGATGACCTTGTTATCCTGTCTCCTTGTTCCCTTGTAACTTGTCGGGAATCTTATATTTGTCAACATTTGTTGATGACCTCTCTTCACATATAAGATTTAAAAAGGAAATGTTTTAAAATGAAGGTTTTCAAACAAATAAACAATTTTTAGTATTATCAAATAAATATAGTTAAGACTGACAAAAATTATGTAGATGAATAAATATGGATATATGTATTTTTTGTTTTTGTTTCAAAGGCCGATTATTTCACTTTTATGCAAAACAGATACAAACTATAGATACAAAAAGACTGCATGTGATGCCAGCTTTCATTTGATATCTAACTTTATATGGTTAAAGGAAAAAGGAAACATTAAGTTTTCGGGCTTTTTTGTATTTTACATTGATTTACCCCCAAAAGATCATACCCAAACTAAACAATTTTCCCCAACTTTCCCCAATTTTCCTAGATTTTAAATATGTTGTGAGGGGATGCCTTCTGAACATGAAACAGGAGAAATCATTTCTGTGGCAATTTGTGGTGGGTTTGGTAGGATTTGAAACTATATTGACCGGACTAGGAGTTTATCATGGTTTCTATGTAGTGTATTATTATGTAAGTGACTTTTGACTAAAATCGGGATTTAATTAATCAAGTTCATGCTTACATAACAGGAAATTTGCATTGTTTGCATACATTCACTGAATTTGTTTGTTCCAGTGTATAGTGCAGTCGTACCTTCAGTGGCTCCAGGACAGTGACTACAGCCCGCTATGTCCGCTGTGTCAGCAGGACCTCGGCAGTGAGGAGGTGGGCCAGTGTGTCAGACTGGTCTGCTATGGTATGACACTCGTCTTATCAGCTCTGTCTCTCATTTATCTCAAGTTCGGTTCATGATGTAGCACTCTGCAACTATAGCCCCTTTATTCTGAAGCCAGAGTCTTGTAAAATTCTGTTTGGTATTGTACGGCCAGCTAGTAATAGTCCATATGACAAAATCTTATGAAAAAGATGTTAAGAGCCATGTTTGGGCTAGTAAACTCCAAAAGTTCTGGGCAGACACTGTGTAGTAAATTGTGATTAGAAAGGCAAATTGATATACAGCTTTAACTATACATGATAAGTAAAATTGACACATAGTGCCAAATAAGTGAGAAAATGTCTGTGGCAGACAGATCTGGACCAGTTTAATATCGGTATATTTGCTAGATAAGCGTACTGTATGTCATCTTTGTCAAAATGGAGCATTACAGGTTTATTTTAGCTTCCACCATTTAAGATGATTGAGCTGTAGAATGGTCAAGGAGTTGAAGCTGATTCCTGCACATTGTTCCGTTTCCTGTACATTTAATGACTGAATATTAGACATCACCAAGAATCACCAAGTAAATGAATGTTCATGTTGACAGATGTGTTCCACTGGGCTTGCATCAACCAATATGCCCAGCGCCTCCCCGCCAACACTGCCCCTGCTGGCTACACCTGTCCCACCTGCAGGGTGGGGATCTTCCCCCCTACCAACAATGTGTCCCCTGTCGCTGACCAGCTCAGGAACATGCTCTCCAAGGTCAACTGGGCTCGCGCTGGGCTGGGACTGCCTTTGGTAAGACTTAAGTTCACGTCCAGATTGCTGATACAAGAATGTGTTTAATCACCATTGAACTTGAATAAGTAATGACTTTAATACATTTAATAAGGATCTGCAAACTATTTTTCTACCTACTTTGGTCTGTATTCTTTTTAGAAAATGTCCTCCCTCTCACACCAAACATGGAGTAACAGTGATAATTTGGAAATTTTATGATAAATTGTATATTTATGAACTTTTCCTATGTCACATAATGCATCTCTCTTCCTTCTTTGATCCTGGTGTGGAAACGCCTCAGAACAAAGTTTCCAACTTCAAAAAACACCTCACCCCAACACAACGATTCATAAACATGGTCACCGCTTGTCATCTGGGTCATGCACCAACCAATCCCGTGCGAACCGATATCCGCTAACTTGACCACTTAGTATACCTTCCCAAGTCATTCTCTTTCTCATCGCCAAGGTGTCGAGACTTACCTTTAAGAATTGAAGATGTTTGGTTGTTTTTTGTATTTCCACACTAGTATCCAGCGTTAGAAATTGGCACTAGTCCTATAGTCCTTGTCAATCTGTCCAATAATTAAGGTATCATAAGGACTAGTAGAAATTGGCCAATGTTAAGGGTTTTTCTATATGTTATCATTATAAGGACTAGTGGACTATAACTGTTAGTTTCTACCCCTGGTATCGAAGCAGGAGGAGAGATGCATTATGTGAGATAGGATAAGTTTAAGAATGTTTTTCTTGTGCAGATCGAGGAAGCAGATTTCCCACCTCCAGCTGCGGCGGCAGGCTCTGATGATGCTCCGTCACTCCGAGCAGAGGCAACTCTTGCTGCCAGCCCTCCCCTCTCAGCTGGCCCCAACTACTCACGCCCCAGTGCACAGGTCAGCCCCTACACCAGCACCCCCACCATGGCCTCCGCAGCGGCAGCCCCCGGGCACAGCGTCATCGGCGTGGATGCAGGCACATCCGTCAGGGGGCAGGACAGAGCTTCCAGTTACGGAAGTAAGATTTGGAATATTTCATAGTCAACCTCAACTTCAGATTTATTGTTGTGCATTCCAGATAATGAGTGCTGAGAATTGTGTGAATGTTTACTCCTTATTCTGTGCTAGTATCTGTTTATGTAATTGTTTACAGAAGCACTATACACAGTTGAGTGGAATTGTGTTCGAAGTAGCCATAGGATGATTTGTTGTTAGTAAAGTATTATTTGACTATATCATGTGTATATGTATGACCTGTTGACAGAAAGATAGTTACTTGACTGTTTGACTGAAGTCCAGAGATTTTTAGTATTCTGTTTGACCGTTCTCATAATGTGTATATTAACAGTGGAAGTTTGGCACAAGGAAAATATGTAATTTTTAACTTATCCTATCTCACACTTTGCATTTCTCCCTTCTTCTTCGACCCTATGTGGGAACGTGCTTGAATCATGTTTACAGCTTCTGAAAATATTAATAGCCACCCAAGCCCCCCTGCATCTCCATGGTTATGTCCAAAAGCTAGATCAATTACGTGCCTCTCATGCACGCCGTGCCTGCTTGAACTGACGTGTGCACCTCTACCAATTCATTCTCTTTCTCATCGCCACCGTGTGGTGACGTGTTTGAATATCAGAGAATTGTTTGTCCTTTGGCAAGTTGTCAAGTATCCTAAATAATATGGGAAAATAGGACAAACAAAGTCCTGCTTGTAAACAATGCAGACGTACCTATTCCACATCGGATCCCCACTCATTATGTTGCGACTGTCAGGGACAGTGCACCCTGAGTTCCCAGTGTGCGGAATGTCATTCCCTAACTAACTTGGCGTTTAAAGTTTACCTGCAACGTTGTCGTCAAGTATCCTAAATAATATGGGAAAATAGGACAAACAAAGTCCTGCTTGTAAACAATGCAGACGTACCTATTCCACATCGGATCCCCACTCATTATGTTGCGACTGTCAGGGACAGTGCACCCTGAGTTACCAGTGTGCGGAATGTCATTCCCTAACTAACTTGGCGTTTAAAGTTTACCTGCAACGTTGTCGTCGTTGTATTACCGATCGGCAATCAAAAGCAGGGGATTCCAAGGCTCCTCACGCCCTAAAGAAAATCCTGATGAACCAGTAATTTCTGTCATAGACGAGACCCTCTCAGACAGCTTCCTTATAGACGATTTATTGACTCACGACCTGTCTATCACTCAACAAGATTATACGTAGGTCAATGTGCGCTCGGTCTGTCTGACCAACCCGGTTCCCGCTCTCGTTATACAAGTGACCGATTGCTCCAGTCCATTTAAAATCCCGCTCTTGGATTCGGCTCACTCTGCTTCCCCGGCTGCTAGAGATATGTCCGTCGGTATGACTACTTCAGGTCGTTTTGGATCATCACACCTCCAAGACGACAGATCGGCACTCCTGCTCCAGGGATCGTCGTTCTCGCTCACAGGATCATCGTCGTTCCCACTCGAAGGATTGGAGATCTCGATCCCAGGATAGGCATTCTTGATCAAGTTTCCATGCTTGCTCCTGAGCTGATATTGAACGCTCGCATCATGATCGTCATCATTCCCGCTCCCGATCGTCTTCAATTGACCACCCGTCTGACAGTTCTCTCTCCGGCAGGGATCGATCATCCGTTGTTGAGTATCACCATAGAGGTTATCTTCACGGGACCCTACAGGCAGTTGATATCTACTCGGCTCGTCACCATGGATGGGATGCCTACCCGATCTACCATGACTCTGTTACGGGCGTCCTGGATACCCTTACTACTGCTCTTCTGCCGGCTATGCCTACCCGCCTCACAGTTCACAGGATCGGCGTTCGTCATTGTATAAAGAACGTGATCACGAGTTGGGATCACAGGGATCAACAACAGACTTTGAAACCATTGTTCGAAAGCAATATCCACTGTCCTCCTTCACTGTTCGGATCCTTCATCGACTCCTCAACCTACTGATCTGGTTCCGGTTTCAGTTGCCTCCGACTCGACCCCTCCCGGGTAAATTGCAGTTACAGCGGACGACTTTGGCTACGGATAGGTTCTCCAGATTCGCAGTTCCATCCGCTAGCTTGTCCAAGATCACACTCCCTCCAAGGCCTGTCTTACTGGACATTAACTCTTACCTAGATACGTCTTTCGCGTCCTTTCATCGTCTACTGGATCGTCTCCATAATTCCCACTTCATCCTTGACACAGGCACTCATGGCATGTCTACTATGGTCGCCTCCCCTGATATTGACAGTGACGTTTCCACTCAACCTCGTCTTTCGTGGTTGAAGATCGGAACCTAATGCACTCGGATGCGACAGTCGGACGTACCCTCCCACTCATGTCTACCCTCAGGTTTTATTCCCCCATTTTTCTTATCCCCCCAAAAGACAGTTTGAAACTCTGGCTCTGACAGGGTCTCCTTGACGCCAATCGTCCCGTCCCTCCATCTGTTTGTCGGCGCTTCAACCGTCGGTTGGGTAGCACATTTTCAAGATCAGCAAGTTGCAGGGCGGTGGTCCGACATAGAACATTGCCTTCACATCAACAATTTCAAGTTCAAGACAATCATTCACGCGATTTTGCATTGGTCGACCTCCTCCAGTTCTCCTCCCTTATGATCCAGTCCGACAACACAGCGGTAGAGTGGTCCATCAACAGGATGGGATCCACGAAGTTAATGTCCCTACTCTCACTTGCTCTCGAGTTCTTGCATCTCATCGACTCCCTCAACATACATGTCCATGCTCGGCACATATCCAACATCATAGCAGACTCCCTGCTTTGACCAGACAGACCATCCCCAACCATCACCAACCAAGTGGTCTCTTCATCCACAATCGTTCCAATGGATTTACCAACTTTATCTTTGCCACCCGCTTCAACGCACGGGAGAATGACGCGTTAGCGATCTAATAGGAAGGTCTCAATGCCTACGCCTTTCCCTCGACAGGTCTCCTTCCCCGGGTCCTGCATAAGGTAGCAGCCACCAATTGCCTGTCTCTGATTTTAATTGCTCCCTATTGTGCAACCGGTTCCCCACCTTGCTTAGGCTCGCCGACGAACGATTTCATCCTCTTCTACTCTGCAATGACCTCCTCTTTTAACTGCACTCTTGGTGGCTCCATCAGCCCATCTTTGCGTTTGGCACATCTGCAGAAGTCCCTCGTAGCAAAAGGTACCTCCCAACGGGTAGCGAGGACCATCTCTGCTGCCCATCGTGCTTCCACCAGGCGCCTTTATGACCCCAAGTGGACGGCTTTTGAGACTTATTGTCGGTTTCGCTTCAACAGATTGCCAAATATTTACATCACCTGTGTTAGAATCGGAAACTTCGGGGATCCATGTTGGCAACCTTGCGGCTGTGAACTCCATCATCGCCATCACTTCCGGTACGAAGGTTTCCACGGTTACGGAGCTGCCATTGCTCATCTGTTCCTACAAATTAGCTGACCAAGCTGCTCGTTTTCGGCCTCCTTCGTTGGACCTAAACGTTATTCTTCAACACCTGGTTTCCAGCGATTACAAACCACTGATGAAGGACTTACGCAGTTACGTTGGCTTTGCCCACTGCTGCACGGGTTAGCGAAATTCACCGGACAATTTACAATTTCCCCGCTCTCGGCTATTTTGGGATTGAACGACCATGAAGACTTTGTGCCCAGTTCGGGCGCTTGGAATATATCTTGATGCGTCTCACTTCCACAGACTTTTTGGAAGAGACTTTTTATCCCATTGTCAACTGCATCTTCTTCGGAAATTTCTCGTATGACGCTATCCTTCTCGCTACGCTCCATCATTCTGTGAGAGTATACTTTCGCTGGGCTGCCTCCACCTACAACGTCCAATCCTCACGAGACTTGTGCAGTTGCTTCTACCATCGCCCTTCACAGTAACGGCACCCTTTCAACCATCATTGAAGGTTGCTTTTGGAAGTGCGATACTGTCTCACTACCTTTGCAACATTTCAGTCAAAGACATACAAGGGTTTCACAAGTTCGGTCTGTTGGTATTGGCACAACAACTGTCCCACCCCAGTTAACTTTGTTACTATGTAATCCCTGCGGGTTCCAATTGTATATACAGAATAAATCATTAAACATTTACGTGGTGTTATGTGTTTTTGGATTGTTTGAGTTTCCCGATTGAGTCCCTTTTGGAGGGAGAATTAGCTTAGCTGTAGAGACTGTTTAGTCTTAATTTATGAAATCACCATTTGGTGCAGACGATAAAAAAAACCCCCAAAAACACAACATAAGATCGGTGTCCCGAACCTTTATTCCGCTCACCTCTGCCTCGGGTATCTGTGGTGTAGATTACACTGTCTAGAGCCAGCTTCCTCGTGCATACAGTTGTAGTCTATACAGGCAAGGTTATGTGCGGCCCAGCATCCAACCGTGGGATAAAATGCAAAGTGTGAGATAGGATAAGTTTAAAAATTTGGAAATATTAGTACAAATTGTATGTTTATATACTTATCCCATCTCTCACATGATAGGCCCACCCGACCATCCCCACATCTCAATTACTCTAGCCTTATAGGCTCTGCAACAGAGAATGAATTAGTAGAGGCGCACGAGAGGCACATATTTGACCTAGTTTTTGGACGTAACCATGGAGATGCAGTGGGGCTTGGGTGGCTATTTTTATTTTCAGAAGCTGGAAACATGATTCAAGCACGTTCCCACATAGGATCGAAGAAGAAGGGAGAAATGCAAAGTGTAAGATAGGATAAGTATATAAATATACTAAAATTTCCAAGATTTCCTAGTTATGTTCCTGCTTGAATATTTCAGTTGATCCGAGGAAGTTGTTTGACACCACGAAGGGTGATGAAATATTCAACATGTCACATGACCATGATGAAGACAAGTACAAGCGGAGATCTGCCTTCAACTGGATGGCCCGCTGGTTTAAGTGAGTAGCATATATATCTACAGTGGTTGAATCTTGAAGTTTGCGACTGGGAAATGTTTTATTTTTAATCCCAACGTAGATCTCTCACTCAGACATGCGAACCACCCAAACATGCCTACCACTAGGCATCACATGACACTAGCTGCACACGACACTCTTGTAGTTTTCGTTCACGGCGACAAGTCCTGTTGCAAGAAGCTCTCACCCTTTTTGTTCCGATTGGAGTTCGCCAGACACCCGAATGACACCTGTTGACATCATGACATCTTCCGATTAGAGGTCGCCAGACACCCGAATGACACCTGTCGATTGGAGGTCACAAGACACCCGAATGACACCTGTCAACATCATGACACCTGGCGATTGAAGATCACAGACACCCGAATGACACCTGTTGATTGGAGGTCACAAGAAACCCGAATCACACCTGTTGACTTCATGACACCTGCTGATTGGAGGTAGCTAGACACCCGAATGACACTTGTTGCCATGTTGACGCCTGTCGCTGCAATGATGCTAGGCATCACGATGATGCACATCATTCAGACGATGCTGACTGGCGCCAGGACCCTTCCCTTACAGCAGGGGAGCTCTGAGCGGCACAGGAAGTTCCCATCTTAAGTGCACGGATGAGAGCTGTTTGCAGTCCTTTGTACTTTGCAGATGCGTACAGAATGGTCTTACTCATGGTGTCACCTAGGCCTGTGGTTGACCCGACTAAGTCACATGAGTTGATGAAGGTGCTACTCTACCACCACAAGCCTCTGTGTTGGCTTAGATAAGCATTTGGCTTCAGTAGATTTGCATTCACCTCCTTTTAAAAGGGCCAAGGTTGTTTTTCACTGCCTGGACTACGCCATTCAAGCGTAGTCTGACCAGCCCGAGTTGAACATCTCTTAAACAGGCAGGATACCCAAATCAACACCAACGCCAGCGTCAGCGCTAGCTTGTCACTCTGATGAGGTGCCAAGCTTTCATTGCTGCTTCAAACGGGGATGCTGAATATAATAATCGATTGATCTGTCAACCATGGTTCACTCCTGTTAATGACCAGCTTCTCTCTACTTCCAAGGGGGTTGATCACAAGAGCCCACAAGGTCACCACTTTCCGGACTCATCAAGCTATTCAGCGCCATGTAGGCACTTCAGAACATCCACAGTCACAGAGAACATCCCTACCTCAGTCCCAAAGGGGTTTGGGCAGCAACCAGCCCTTTCGTGGGAAGATGAGTCGTTTGTGTACACATTACACATTGCGTAAATACATACAACATGAGGCCATAAAAGGCCGATGAGACACAATGGACAATAAAAAACATCATTTATATAAAAGAATTATAAGTTATAGGATTGCAAAAAACGATAAAAATGAATTCCACCTTTATTTAGGGAAATGTTGCCTACGTGCATACAGTTTTGAAATATTTGCTGCAAGAGGTTTTATGTTACAGTTCATTAAGAACACTGTCTGGTCCACAGGAGAGAATGAAATAAATATAGGATCAGACTTTATAATTCTCGACCATAAATCATATCTCAAGTCAGAATAAAATGGACAGTTAATGAGAAAATGTATCTCATCTTCTACAACTTTATTATTACATAATTTACAAATTCTATCCTGTGAAGGCCTGATAGGTTTAGCAAATCTACCAATTTCAACTTGTAAGGGTAATGTGCCGCAGCCTTACTTGCTTAGGATACTACGATGAGACCTGTTCATGATACATGTAACATAGGGTTCAGCAGACAGCGAGTGTTTGAACAATCGATAAGTACGAAGCTTATTTCCATTTTGTAAACCTCTAACATTCCGCAATTCTGAACACCAATTATGCTCATCTAACGCTAATAGCTTATATTTTAGACGGGTAAAATCAAATTGGGTTAAATGCAGACCGTCAGAGACAGTTAGATCTAAACTATTAAGCAAATCCAAAACATTGTTTACCCAGGATTTGCAGAATTTTGTAGACCATTTACTAATCCAACAAAGAAGTCTATTGGGAGCGACCGCTTGAATTCGCCGCCAAAAACGAAATATTTCAATATGCTGTTTTGTAAGTGGGCTTGTCCATCCTAATTCGCCATGGACTGATAGATTTGGAGTTTTGTTATTAACCGCAAGGAAGAAACGAGCAGCTCTGTTTTGAACATACAGTTTATTAAAAACTGAAAATGACATACCACACGCTAATTTAAATTTACAGATAAGAACACCAAGAGCTCTATTTGCTGATTTTGCCAATTCCTTAACAGAATAAGTAATATCCAATTGCTCATGAAGCCAAAATCCTAAAGATTTATAGGCGTTAATAATGTCAATGTGAGAAGAGCCAATAGTAAAGAAAAATTTCGGAATTTTAACAGATGGGGGCCTGAAATGAACGACCTTAGTTTTTTTCACATTTACTTTTAAACTCCATTGTGCTGCCCAGCAAGAGACGCAGTCTGTAGCAATCAAAACTACATTGTCCGCGTACAGTAAATGATTAACATATTATCGTCTATCTGAATACCACATTTAAGTTTATTAATTTCCTCTGCGAGATCGTTAATAAACACTGAAAACAACACACATCCTTGTCTCACTCCAGAAGTTACTGGAAACGGATCTGTTAAGCAATTATTTATCCTTACAAGTAACCAGGGCCCACTTGCACAAAGCGCTCTTAGCGCTAAGATTATCGCAACTCCCATACTTTAACATAGGCTTACAATAGTCTTAGCGCTAAGAGCGCTTTGTGCAAGTGGGCCCAGGTGTTATCATACATTGCTTGTACAGCATGAAGAAATTTTGCATTGACGCCAAGCCGACGAAGTTTATACCATAAACGTGAACGATTCACTTTGTCAAACGCCTTCATCGCGTCAATGAAACAAACATGTGGATTGTCTAGACAACAGTCTATTACTGATAACAGAAAATAAACTAAATATATGTTCTTGAGTACTTTGCTTAGAACGAAAACCGTATGGTTCATCAGTAAGAATGTTATTGTTTCAAACCAGCGGCTTAAAAGAGTGTTTATCACATCGTGTATACTTACATGGGACCGAAATTAAAGAAATACATGTACCTCAATAACTTAACGGATCACGTGGATTGGTATCAGTTTTTTTAATCGGGTTAATAACACTAGTGCGCCAGGTTTCTGGACATGTATTGTTTTCGAAGCAAACAGTAAAAAGCCGGAAAAGAATGGCGGTACAAGTGCTGTTCTTAAGCGCTTCAACTGGGAGAAGGTCAAGGCCGACTGCCATTCCACGTTTTGCACGTGCAATAGCTCGCTCGACTTCCGCACATGTAATTGGAAGATCCAGGTCAGTAGTATCAAGTATCCGGTCATTTGTAATCCTGTTGTTTGCAATCTCATTTTGAATCGATTATCACCGAAATCCGAGGAAGAGCTTTCCACAAATAACGACAAATAATCGCTTTGCCATTTATTCAAAACCGTGGTTTTATCAAAAAATACATTACCGTCGGATTCAACCTCCCAGGGAACAAAATTACTTCTGTCTTTTGCAAAACCAATCCTACCGAAAGACTTCCAAAAACTGCGCACATCGCCTTGATTATAATTGTCTAATAAACGCTGCTGTTCAGGTAGTTGATACAAACGCTTATGTCTACGTAGAATTGTGTCAAAATATTTAAGTTCCTGAACAAAATGGAACTTCAAAACTTTCTTTCAGACAAGAGATTTACATTTAGGATACCATTTTTCAGCTTCGCACGCTTTGTCCCATTGCTGTTGGAGCTCTAAACACCAGTAGGGGCGGTCGGGTAGCCTAGTGGTTAAAGCGTTCGCTCATCACGCCGAAGACCCGGGTTCGATTCCCGACATGGGTACAATGTGTGAAGCCCATTTCTGGTGTCCCCTGCCGTGATATTGCTGGAATATTGCTAAAAGCGGCGTAAAACCATACTCACTCACTAAACACCAGTAAGGTTTACGGACAGATATAGATTTGTAATTAGAAAATTTATTTTCAGTAGGTAAAACAACCATGTCTAATTCTGAATACATGAATGAGACAAAATCTTCATAAGCTGTATTAATATTGCCTTGAACAGACAAATCAGATTCAATTTTAGTAATTGTAGCATTAACCTTATCTAAACACATACGGTCATTCAAAAACGTGAGTGGTATTTTGCTTTTAACATAGAATTTGGATTTTTCTTGTGTATGTTCTTCCTGAATACCCTGACAACAAGGAAGGGCAATATCGCACGTTAACATCGAGTGGTCAGGGATAGTATCGGGGACATGGCAGCCATTGACTAGTGATGACATAGTGAGAACATCAAACGTTTTAAAGGGACACAAATGCTCATGGGCTGTAATAATGTAATCTACTCCTGATGACCCATTCTTGACGTATGTATAATTCTGTGTTCCAAACCGACCATTTAGCATACACAAATTGGCTTGGGTAAAAAAATCAATTAACAGACTACCATATGAATTGTCCCTTCTGTCAATAACTTTCCTATCTGGGATACCTAAAAAAAATCCCTCTCACAACCAACATTCCCACATATGCAAACAATTCCTTCATTCTGATATTCATACAGATTATCTAACAACAATTGACACCATCATTCACCATCATTCACACGTGACGAAGATACAGGGGGTAAATAACAAACACATAGCACTATTCTAATATCGGGTACGACCTTTGAAGTTAATCTATACCAAATAATATCATTTGTACATTTATCTAAAAGTTCCACACTAAAAGACTAATATAGAGTTCTTGGAGAAGGCACCGACGCCTCCAGAGCCCCTTTTGGCACGTTTGTGTTGATCTCGGCGATTGTTACCGTTCCATGTGGAACTGTCTATAGACAAATTATTATTACCTTTTAGAAATTTTTCGCAAACACCAAACACATCATACTCCAAATTGTGAACAACACTTTCACGGAATGATTTATTGTTGAGGTCTCTCTGTACCCAGCCACCAGTGTTCCAAAAACCTATCCGCAATATGTCCTATTCCTTGGCTGTCACTAGGCGTTTCACCATGGAATCTGAAGAAACTCAACTTGCCAAATTCTTTGATTATGGTTTGATCTATTAATCAACTCTTCTTGAGTAAGGGCTGAATCAATGTAGACACGGGAAAAGTCTTTACTTTTCTTCAGATCCTTTTTACACTGCAAAAGTTTTTTCTTCTGGGCTGTTGTCTCCAAACTGAAAATGACAACACCCGGCTTATCATCCAAGTGCTTTTTCCTGACTGCATGTGCTGCACGGATGTCGGCGAGCTTCAAACCATTACGGACCACTCTGTTTACAATATTACATGTGACATTATTGTCTTTGGCCTCACACGCATCATATGGTAGGTTCCGCATTACACATTCGATATTACGACTCTGATCCCCATTGTTAACAGCATCTGCAAACTTTACTTCTAAACATCCGACCTTTTCGGGCAAGTTTTACACAGTTTTGGCCCACATATTCGGATTTCTGTGCACAAGTACTCTCTACCGCTTTCAGTTTACTTGTCAAATCTGATATCGAAATCTTGTTGCAACTTCAAAGTCTCAGCTCGTAGAATTTCAGTGAGTTTTTCAGTCACTCTAACTTCAATCTTGTCTAGCTGTTAAGCCATAAAGTTTCTCATATAGATAGCAGATAGAAGTTCGCCATTGCTAGGCATCAAGACTGACTCGGTAGACACTGACATGTCAGGGGAATGGTCACAGTCAACAGAGACCATATCGCATGACTGGGTTTCTTGTAAATTATCAACAGTTTTCATCTTTTTAGCTGCTGACGGAGCACAGGAATGGTCCTAACATATAACTTGATCTATGACATTCGTTTGAGACAAAACCGCCTTGACATATCCACTAGCACATTAGGGCACTAATATCAATGATGGTGCTTCATGGCAACTGCTGTCGCTTTGATTAGAGGTGGGTGTTTGGGGGAATTCTGATAGCCTTGGCAAGTCACTATCTTTGAGAATGAAGGTATTCACAGGTTTGGGTCATTGGTGGAAGCACGATAGTGTACCACCAGGCACTATTGCTGTGTGAACTGTCCGTGTATATTTTTTGTATTTATGATCTAGCCAGCGATATGCGCTGCATGTTTCTGGACTGGTTGACAATCATAGTGATTCCTTCATCTGACAGATCTAGTCACATATGTGCGGTCTCACTCTGTCCGGGTAAGACGTCATGACACCAAATCAAGATGTTCCTCACAGACCTACTATTCATTGAAGGTTTGTGCACCATCCCCCCCACCGTGGGAAGAAATTTACATTGGCGGTAATGCAGGAAAAGTTAAAAATTTATCAATATCAAATATATTTGGTATTTACCTACTTATCCTGCATTACATTGTAATGTTCCCACCTGAGACCCACTGGCTTGTACTTGATTTGCCAACAAAAGTGTCATGTGGAGCTTGGGTCATGTGATGCCTGGTGGTAGGCGTGTTTGGGCGATTCCTTTAATGAAGCGTTCTCTCTGGGTGAGAGATTGTTGATGGGATTACGTTTCGGTTCAACTGTAAGATTTTTCATTATATGTAATCATGGATAAGTATATAACTGTCCAATATGTTAGATGTTGATAAACAATGAAGTCCCATGTATGTTTTGTGAATAAATCAAGATACGTATTTGTAATTTGAAGCATCTGTATTTACAGGATTGTTGTGAATATCACCATGTTCATGTGTGTAATGATATTTGTTTTGTACTAGGTCTGTTGACAAGAAGAAGAAGCGTGACCCGAATGCTGTCCGGAAACGTTTCTTCCTGGTACTAGTTCTGGGCATTCTGGGATTCATCACCTTCATCATCATCATGTCCAAGCTGGGTCGCAACGCTACCGACAACGATCCATTCCTTGACCCGCTAGCAAACCCCAACATTAAAGTGAATGAGAAGGAAATAATCGTTGGCAACGACTGATCTGTGGGGTAGATGCTAAGTGGTCACACAGACACTGTGCCATGATGGACGCGGTCACACTGTGGCAGGAGGGAGGCCATGGCAGGGGGGGGGGGGGGGGGGGGAGGAAGAGAGGAGGCGGCATTTCCTTGTTGCCATAGCACCCTGCTGTTGTACATACATGCTTATTGTTGACTACAGGCCTTATCTACAGACTTGTAACAGAGGCTGATGTATCAGGGGGCATCTTGGAGTAACCTGGCAGGGATGCTGGGGAGACCAGGGACCAGTGTTTGAAGGGGAACTGAACTATACGTTTCAGTTTGCAAACATTTCATTTCAGATGACTTATTATTATTTTCTCATTCTCTAACTCTTTCTTAACAGTCAATGATGGTATGTAAATTCATGTATAGTTGTAGATATTTGAATGTTGTGCATCATGGCTGAGCCTCCTTGGAACAAAGACAAACATGTACTCATCTGTTACCATGTACTCATCTGTTACCATGATGATGTTAGGGATGTAATAAGGAAACTTCCGGGGGCACTGATTTATGTTACCATGTACACATCTGTTACCATGATGATGTTAGGGATGTAATGAGCACTTCCGGGGGCACTGATTTATGTTACCATGTACACATCTGTTACCATGATGATGTTAGGGATGTAATGAGCACTTCCGGGGGCACTGATTTATGTTACCATGTACTCATCTGTTACCATGATGATGTTAGGGATGTAATGAGCACTTCCGGGGGCACTGATTTATGTTACCATGTACACATCTGTTACCATGATGATGTTAGGGATGTAATGAGCACTTCCGGGGGCACTGATTTATGTTACCATGTACACATCTGTTACCATGATGATGTTAGGGATGTAATGAGCACTTCCGGGGGCACTGATTTATGTTACCATGTACACATCTGTTACCATGATGATGTTAGGGATGTAATGAGCACTTCCGGGGGCACTGATTTATGTTACCATGTACACATCTGTTACCATGATGATGTTAGGGATGTAATGAGCACTTCCGGGGGCACTGATTTATGTTACCATGTACTCATCTGTTACCATGATGATGTTAGGGATGTAATGAGCACTTCCGGGGGCACTGATTTATGTTACCATGTACACATCTGTTACCATGATGATGTTAGGGATGTAATGAGCACTTCCGGGGGCACTGATTTATGTTACCATGTACACATCTGTTACCATGATGATGTTAGGGATGTAATGAGCACTTCCGGGGGCACTGATTTATGTTACCATGTACACATCTGTTACCATGATGATGTTAGGGATGTAATGAGCACTTCCGGAGGTGCCAATTTATGTTACCATGTACACATCTGTTACCATGATGATGTTAGGGATGTAATGAGCACTTCCGGAGGTGCCAATTTATGTTACCATGTACACATCTGTTACCATGATGATGTTAGGGATGTAATGAGCACTTCCGGAGGTGCCAATTTATGTTACCATGTACACATCTGTTACCATGATGATGTTAGGGATGTAATGAGCACTTCCGGAGGTGCCAATTTATGTTACCATGTACACATCTGTTACCATGATGATGTTAGGGATGTAATGAGCACTTCCGGGGGCACTGATTTATGTTACCATGTACACATCTGTTACCATGATGATGTTAGGGATGTAATGAGCACTTCCGGGGGCACTGATTTATGTTACCATGTACACATCTGTTACCATGATGATGTTAGGGATGTAATGAGCACTTCCGGGGGCACTGATTTATGTTACCATGTACACATCTGTTACCATGATGATGTTAGGGATGTAATGAGCACTTCCGGGGGCACTGATTTATGTTACCATGTACTCATCTGTTACCATGATGATGTTAGGGATGTAATGAGCACTTCCGGAGGTGCCAATTTATGTTACCATGTACACATCTGTTACCATGATGATGTTAGGGATGTAATGAGCACTTCCGGAGGTGCCAATTTATGTTACCATGTACTCATCTGTTACCATGATGATGTTAGGGATGTAATGAGCACTTCCGGAGGTGCCAATTTATGTTACCATGTACTCATCTGTTACCATGATGATGTTAGGGATGTAATGAGCACTTCCGGAGGCACTGATTTATGTTACCATGTACTCATCTGTTACCATGATGATGTTAGGGATGTAATGAGCACTTCCGGGGGCACTGATTTATGTTACCATGTACACATCTGTTACCATGATGATGTTAGGGATGTAATGAGCACTTCCGGGGGCACTGATTTATGTTACCATGTACACATCTGTTACCATGATGATGTTAGGGATGTAATGAGCACTTCCGGGGGCACTGATTTATGTTACCATGTACACATCTGTTACCATGATGATGTTAGGGATGTAATGAGCACTTCCGGAGGTGCCAATTTATGTTACCATGTACACATCTGTTACCATGATGATGTTAGGGATGTAATGAGCACTTCCGGGGGCACTGATTTATGTTACCATGTACACATCTGTTACCATGATGATGTTAGGGATGTAATGAGCACTTCCGGGGGCACTGATTTATGTTACCATGTACTCATCTGTTACCATGATGATGTTAGGGATGTAATGAGCACTTCCGGGGGCACTGATTTATGTTACCATGTACTCATCTGTTACCATGATGATGTTAGGGATGTAATGAGCACTTCCGGGGGCACTGATTTATGTTACCATGTACTCATCTGTTACCATGATGATGTTAGGGATGTAATGAGCACTTCCGGGGGCACTGATTTATGTTACCATGTACACATCTGTTACCATGATGATGTTAGGGATGTAATGAGCACTTCCGGGGGCACTGATTTATGTTACCATGTACACATCTGTTACCATGATGATGTTAGGGATGTAATGAGCACTTCCGGGGGCACTGATTTATGTTACCATGTACACATCTGTTACCATGATGATGTTAGGGATGTAATGAGCACTTCCGGAGGTGCCAATTTATGTTACCATGTACACATCTGTTACCATGATGATGTTAGGGATGTAATGAGCACTTCCGGAGGTGCCAATTTATGTTACCATGTACACATCTGTTACCATGATGATGTTAGGGATGTAATGAGCACTTCCGGAGGTGCCAATTTATGTTACCATGTACACATCTGTTACCATGATGATGTTAGGGATGTAATGAGCACTTCCGGAGGTGCCAATTTATGTTACCATGTACACATCTGTTACCATGATGATGTTAGGGATGTAATGAGCACTTCCGGAGGTGCCAATTTATGTTACCATGTACACATCTGTTACCATGATGATGTTAGGGATGTAATGAGCACTTCCGGGGGCACTGATTTATGTTACCATGTACACATCTGTTACCATGATGATGTTAGGGATGTAATGAGCACTTCCGGGGGCACTGATTTATGTTACCATGTACACATCTGTTACCATGATGATGTTAGGGATGTAATGAGCACTTCCGGGGGCACTGATTTATGTTACCATGTACACATCTGTTACCATGATGATGTTAGGGATGTAATGAGCACTTCCGGGGGCACTGATTTATGTTACCATGTACTCATCTGTTACCATGATGATGTTAGGGATGTAATGAGCACTTCCGGAGGTGCCAATTTATGTTACCATGTACACATCTGTTACCATGATGATGTTAGGGATGTAATGAGCACTTCCGGAGGTGCCAATTTATGTTACCATGTACTCATCTGTTACCATGATGATGTTAGGGATGTAATGAGCACTTCCGGAGGTGCCAATTTATGTTACCATGTACTCATCTGTTACCATGATGATGTTAGGGATGTAATGAGCACTTCCGGAGGCACTGATTTATGTTACCATGTACTCATCTGTTACCATGATGATGTTAGGGATGTAATGAGCACTTCCGGGGGCACTGATTTATGTTACCATGTACACATCTGTTACCATGATGATGTTAGGGATGTAATGAGCACTTCCGGGGGCACTGATTTATGTTACCATGTACACATCTGTTACCATGATGATGTTAGGGATGTAATGAGCACTTCCGGGGGCACTGATTTATGTTACCATGTACACATCTGTTACCATGATGATGTTAGGGATGTAATGAGCACTTCCGGAGGTGCCAATTTATGTTACCATGTACACATCTGTTACCATGATGATGTTAGGGATGTAATGAGCACTTCCGGGGGCACTGATTTATGTTACCATGTACACATCTGTTACCATGATGATGTTAGGGATGTAATGAGCACTTCCGGGGGCACTGATTTATGTTACCATGTACTCATCTGTTACCATGATGATGTTAGGGATGTAATGAGCACTTCCGGGGGCACTGATTTATGTTACCATGTACTCATCTGTTACCATGATGATGTTAGGGATGTAATGAGCACTTCCGGGGGCACTGATTTATGTTACCATGTACTCATCTGTTACCATGATGATGTTAGGGATGTAATGAGCACTTCCGGGGGCACTGATTTATGTTACCATGTACTCATCTGTTACCATGTACATGTGGAGGCCATGAACTTGTTTGGGGTTTTCAAAGGTAAACAGTGTTATTCCCTGTGTGTACACCGAGGGTTAGGTTAGGGTTAGTGTTACGGTTGGGCAGAAAGTGCTCACAACATGCAAAGCACTTTTTGTAATGCTCCATGTTGCTTTCACTACTCATGACCCCCACAGATACAATACTGACCCCCGCAGATACAATACTGACCCCCACAGATACAATACTGACCCCCACAGATACAATGCTGACCCCCACAGATACAATGCTGACCCCCACAGATACAATGCTGACCCCCACAGATACAATGCTGACCCCCACAGATACAATACTGACCCCCACAGATATAATACTGATCAGTGATTAAATAAATCGACTATACTTGTTGTAAGAGGCAACAGGATCAGGTGGTCAGGCTTGCTGACTTTGTTGATGCACGTCATTGTATTCCAATTGCGTGGATTGAAGTTCATGATGTCAGTCACTGGATTTTCTGGTCCAGACTCGATTATTTACAGACCGCAGTCATGTAGCTTGAATAAACAACTCATTGGTTGTCAGTGTGGTAGACACAGGTGTCCGGTGCTTCCTGGATGAGATGAGTTGTTGGAGATGAATGTACAGACTAGGAAAATACTCACCATGCTATCCCAGACAACCACAACATTGCTGAAGGCCATAAGTTCATTTGTATTGGAAGACAGCCATCATGGGCATTCCTGTCAGTGAAGTTAGATTTCTCCACTTGACAAGTCAATATGTCATCTTCAATGCAATGCCTACATTTGTTATTTTAACCAGCACTGCATGTTTTTACACTGTTACCATGGTGACATCGTGAATACAGTCTCTCTTCTGTTTTTAATTTATTATGGATTATGTGTGGAATTATGTTCAGTGAGAATGGTATGCTGGATGTTGTGATGTCAGTGTAGTGTGTACGTCTTTGTTGGCTGGCTGGTTTCATGTTGGAGCCCTTCTGTTTACATATGCATAATATGTATTGACGAAATTGTTACCCAACTTGTTTGAACATCGGAATGATTTTGTTTTTTAGAGTACCTCGGAAGTGTTGTAACTTTTTTTGGTAACAATCAAAAATCAACAGCTGTACTGTATCACTGAAACTGGAGACTTCATTACTAAATCAGCAGTGACAGCCGTCGTGGATGTCAGAGACTGTGTTTAGTGAGCGTGTATTTCTGATTCATGTTCACCCACATTGCTGTGAGAGCTTGTGAGTTTACTGGAGATTATCGTACAATACATGGTTCAGCCCCACATGTGTTGAATCATATTCACACCACGGTGGAAATGTAACCAATTTCACATAGTTGTTTAGGCATGTAAAATTAATCCTGTAAAACTTGAGTAAGATCTAAAATTTCAAAAAGGGAGGGTGAAATGTATGCTACACTGACATGTGCCTCTTGGTTATTTACATATGAATTTGTGTTTGTATATTTAAATACTGTTTGATAATAATTGTTTCTTCTGTATAATATGTAAATAACAATGGGAGAAATAATTATTGCAAAGAAATATGTTGTTGATCTTAATATATAACTGTGTATCAAAAAATGGTGGAATAAACACAATTTGTCATAGCTGATGTGTTGGTTTAAGTGAGGGGTGTCATGATATGCCAAACCCACACACTGATACATGTCAGGTGTCATACCCACACATCGATACATGTCAGGTGTCATACCCACACAGCGATACATGTAGGGTGCCAAACCCACACATCGATACATGTCAGATGTCATACCCACACATCGATACATGTCAGGTGTCATACCCACACATCGATACATGTCAGATGTCATACCCACACATCGATACATGTCAGGTGTCATACCCACACATCAATACATGTCAGATGTCATACCCACACATCGATACATGTAGGGTGCCAAACCCACACATCGATACATGTCGGGTGTCATACCCACACATCGATACATGTCAGGTGTCATACCCACACATCAATACATGTCAGGTGTCATACCCACACATCGATACATGTCAGATGTCATACCCACACATCGATACATGTCAGGTGTCATACCTACACATCGATACATGTCAGATGTCATACCCACACTCGATACATGTCAGGTGTCATACCCACACATCGATACATGTCAGGTGTCATACACACACATCGATACATGTCAGGTGTCAAACCCACACATCGATACATGTAGGGTGTCAAACCCACACATCGATACATGTGAGGTGTCATACGTCAAACCCACACATCGATACATGTGAGGTGTCAAACCCACACATCGATACATGTGAGGTATCAAACCCACACATCGATACATGTAGGGTGTCAAACCCACACATCGATACATGTAGGGTGTCAAACCCACACATCGATACATGTGAGGTGTCAAACCCACACATCGATACATGTAGGGTGTCAAACGTCAAACCCACACATCGATACATGCAGGGTGTCAAACCCACACATCGATACATGTGAGGTGTCAAACCCACACATCGATACATATAGGGTGTCAAACCCACACATCGATACATGCAGGGTGTCAAACCCACACATCGATACATGCAGGGTGTCAAACCCACACATCGATACATGTGAGGTGTCAAACCCACACATCGATACATGTAAGTTGTCAAACCCACACATCGATACATGCAGGGTGTCAAACCCACACATCGATACATGTGAGGTGTCAAACCCACACATCGATACATGTAGGGTGTCAAACCCACACATCGATACATGTAGGGTGTCAAACCCACACAGCCATACATGTAAGGTGTCAAACTCGCACATGATACATGTGAGGTGTCAAACCCACACATCGATACATGTAGGGTGTCAAACCCACACATCGATACATGTGAGGTGTCACGTCAAACCCACACATCGATACATGTGAGGTGTCAAACCCACACATCGATACATGTGAGGTATCAAACCCACACATCGATACATGTAGGGTGTCAAACCCACACATCGATACATGTAGGATGTCAAACCCACACATCGATACATGTGAGGTGTCAAACCCACACATCGATACATGTAGGGTGTCAAACCCACACATTGATACATGTGAGGTGTCAAACCCACACATCGATACATGTAGGGTGTCAAACGTCAAACCCACACATCGATACATGCAGGGTGTCAAACCCACACATCGATACATGTGAGGTGTCAAACCCACACATCGATACATGTCAGGTGTCATACCTACACATCGATACATGTCAGATGTCATACCCACACTTGATACATGTCAGGTGTCATACCCACACATCGATACATGTCAGGTGTCATACACACACATCGATACATGTCAGGTGTCAAACCCACACATCGATACATGTAGGGTGTCAAACCCACACATCGATACATGTGAGGTGTCATACGTCAAACCCACACATCGATACATGTGAGGTGTCAAACCCACACATCGATACATGTGAGGTATCAAACCCACACATTGATACATGTGAGGTGTCAAACCCACACATCGATACATGTAGGGTGTCAAACGTCAAACCCACACATCGATACATGTGAGGTGTCAAACCCACACATCGATACATGTGAGGTGTCAAACCCACACATCGATACATGTAGGGTGTCAAACCCACACATCGATACATGTGAGGTGTCAAACCCACACATCGATACATGTGAGGTGTCAAACCCACACATCGATACATGTAGGGTGTCAAACCCACACATCGATACATGTAGGGTGTCAAACCCACACATCGATACATGTAAGTTGTCAAACCCACACAGCCATACATGTAAGGTGTCAAACCCGCACATGATACATGTGAGGTGTCAAACCCACACATCGATACATGTAAGTTGTCAAACCCACACAGTGATACATGTAAGGTGTCAAACCCACACATCGATACATGTGAGGTGTCAAACCCACACATCGATACATGTAGGGTGTCAAACCCACACATCGATACATGTAGGGTGTCAAACCCACACAGCGATACATGTAAGGTGTCAAACCAACACATCGATACATGTGAGGTGTCAAACCCACACATCGATACATGTGAGGTGTCAAACCCACACATCGATACATGTAGGGTGTCAAACCCACACATTGATACATGTGAGGTGTCAAACCCACACATCGATACATGTGGGGTGTCATACGTCAAACCCACACATCGATACATGTGAGGTGTCATACCCACACATCGATACATGTAGGGTGTCAAACCCACACATCGATACATGTAGGGTGTCAAACCCACACATCGATAATGTGAGGTGTCAAACCCACACATCGATACATGTTAGGTGTCAAACCCACACATCAATAATGTGAGGTGTCAAACCCACGCATCGATACATGTGAGGTGTCAAACCCACACATCGATACATGTAGGGTGTCAAACCCACACATCGATACATGTGAGGTGTCAAACCCACACATCGATACATGTGAGGTGTCAAACCCACACATCGATACATGTAGGGTGTCAAACCCACACATCGATACATGTAGGGTGTCAAACCCACACATCGATACATGTAAGTTGTCAAACCCACACAGCCATACATGTAAGGTGTCAAACCCGCACATGATACATGTGAGGTGTCAAACCCACACATCGATACATGTAAGTTGTCAAACCCACACAGTGATACATGTAAGGTGTCAAACCCACACATCGATACATGTGAGGTGTCAAACCCACACATCGATACATGTGAGGTGTCAAACCCACACATCGATACATGTGAGGTATCAAACCCACACATCGATACATGTAGGGTGTCAAACCCACACATCGATACATGTAGGATGTCAAACCCACACATCGATACATGTGAGGTGTCAAACCCACACATCGATACATGTAGGGTGTCAAACCCACACATTGATACATGTGAGGTGTCAAACCCACACATCGATACATGTAGGGTGTCAAACGTCAAACCCACACATCGATACATGCAGGGTGTCAAACCCACACATCGATACATGTGAGGTGTCAAACCCACACATCGATACATGTCAGGTGTCATACCTACACATCGATACATGTCAGATGTCATACCCACACTTGATACATGTCAGGTGTCATACCCACACATCGATACATGTCAGGTGTCATACACACACATCGATACATGTCAGGTGTCAAACCCACACATCGATACATGTAGGGTGTCAAACCCACACATCGATACATGTGAGGTGTCATACGTCAAACCCACACATCGATACATGTGAGGTGTCAAACCCACACATCGATACATGTGAGGTATCAAACCCACACATCGATACATGTAGGGTGTCAAACCCACACATTGATACATGTAGGGTGTCAAACCCACACATCGATACATGTGAGGTGTCAAACCCACACATCGATACATGTAGGGTGTCAAACCCACACAGCGATACATGTAGGGTGTCAAACCCACACATTGATACATGTGAGGTGTCAAACCCACACATCGATACATGTAGGGTGTCAAACGTCAAACCCACACATCGATACATGTGAGGTGTCAAACCCACACATCGATACATGTGAGGTGTCAAACCCACACATCGATACATGTAGGGTGTCAAACCCACACATCGATACATGTGAGGTGTCAAACCCACACATCGATACATGTGAGGTGTCAAACCCACACATCGATACATGTAGGGTGTCAAACCCACACATCGATACATGTGAGGTGTCAAACCCACACATCGATACATGTAAGTTGTCAAACCCACACAGCCATACATGTAAGGTGTCAAACCCGCACATGATACATGTGAGGTGTCAAACCCACACATCGATACATGTAAGTTGTCAAACCCACACAGTGATACATGTAAGGTGTCAAACCCACACATCGATACATGTGAGGTGTCAAACCCACACATCGATACATGTAGGGTGTCAAACCCACACATCGATACATGTAGGGTGTCAAACCCACACAGCGATACATGTAAGGTGTCAAACCAACACATCGATACATGTGAGGTGTCAAACCCACACATCGATACATGTGACGTGTCAAACCCACACATCGATACATGTAGGGTGTCAAACCCACACATTGATACATGTGAGGTGTCAAACCCACACATCGATACATGTGGGGTGTCATACGTCAAACCCACACATCGATACATGTGAGGTGTCATACCCACACATCGATACATGTAGGGTGTCAAACCCACACATCGATACATGTAGGGTGTCAAACCCACACATCGATAATGTGAGGTGTCAAACCCACACATCGATACATGTTAGGTGTCAAACCCACACATCAATAATGTGAGGTGTCAAACCCACGCATCGATACATGTGAGGTGTCAAACCCACACATCGATACATGTAGGGTGTCAAACCCACACATCGATACATGTGAGGTGTCAAACCCACACATCGATACATGTGAGGTGTCAAACCCACACATCGATACATGTAGGGTGTCAAACCCACACATCGATACATGTAGGGTGTCAAACCCACACATCGATACATGTAAGTTGTCAAACCCACACAGCCATACATGTAAGGTGTCAAACCCGCACATGATACATGTGAGGTGTCAAACCCACACATCGATACATGTAAGTTGTCAAACCCACACAGTGATACATGTAAGGTGTCAAACCCACACATCGATACATGTGAGGTGTCAAACCCACACATCGATACATGTAGGGTGTCAAACCCACACATCGATACATGTAGGGTGTCAAACCCACACAGCGATACATGTAAGGTGTCAAACCCACACATCGATACATGTGAGGTGTCAAACCCACACATCGATACATGTGACGTGTCAAACCCACACATCGATACATGTAGGGTGTCAAACCCACACATTGATACATGTGAGGTGTCAAACCCACACATCGATACATGTGGGGTGTCATACGTCAAACCCACACATCGATACATGTGAGGTGTCATACCCACACATCGATACATGTAGGGTGTCAAACCCACACATCGATACATGTAGGGTGTCAAACCCACACATCGATAATGTGAGGTGTCAAACCCACACATCGATACATGTTAGGTGTCAAACCCACACATCAATAATGTGAGGTGTCAAACCCACGCATCGATACATGTAGGGTGTCAAACCCACACATCGATACATGTAGGGTGTCAAACCCACACATCGATACATGTAGGGTGTCAAACCCACACATCGATAATGTGAGGTGTCAAACCCACACATCGATACATGTAGGGTGTCAAACCCACACATCGATACATGTAAGGTGTCAAACCCACACATCGATACATGCAGGGTGTCAAACCCACACATCGATACATGCAGGGTGTCAAACCCACACATCGATACATGCAGGGTGTCAAACCCACACATCGATACATGTAGGGTGTCAAACCCACACATCGATACATGTAGGGTGTCGTACGTCAAACCCACACATTGATACAGGTAGGGTGTCATGATAAGCTACATATTGATACAAGTAGGGTGTCATGATAAGCTACACATTGATACAGGTAGGGTGTCATGATAAGCTACATATTGATACAGGTAGGGTGTCATGATAAGCTACATATTGATACAGGTAGGGTGTCATGATAAGCTACATATTGATACAAGTAGGGTGTCATGATAAGCTACATATTAATACAGGTAGGGTGTCATGATAAGCTACACATTGATACAGGTAGGGTGTCATGATAAGCTACATATTGATACAGGTAGGGTGTCATGATAAGCTACATATTGATACAGGTAGGGTGTCATGATAAGCTACATATTGATACAGGTAGGGTGTCATGATAAGCTACATATTGATACAGGTAGGGTGTCATGATAAGCTACATATTGATACAGGTAGGGTGTCATGATAAGTTACATATTGTGACACGTACCTTGTGGCCAGACAAGTGAGAGGTTGTTGCTATCAACCAACACAATTGTTTTACATATCAACAGAGGCATCATGTGACCACTGACCAGTTTGAGAACTTATGTTTTGGGGATATCTTATTTCCACATGGTTTACAACAGTTCCAGTTGAAAGATGGGTGCATATAGCACTGCCACCAAATATCTTATAACGTGGCCCTTAACAATGAGGAACTTGGGTCTCATAGTTTCCTTGCTAGAATAAGTAAAAATCAAAGTATAATGAATGATAAAATCTATTTGTGAAAAGGTCAACACATAGATGATATAGGTATTGAATACAGATGGCAGGATCACCTGCATACAGCACTGGCAAGTGAAGACATTGAGGACAGGGTTTGATGGCATCGTCCTCACATTTGCTGTTACATGGGAACTCCCTGATGTCGGTATTGGAGGCCGAGGAGGATTTGACACCATCTAACACTGCAGACAAACACAGGGATTAAAACTCATATTCACTTTATAGCTGACACAGGAGGACTATGTCACAGCCAATCGGAGCAGTTGTCTTGTCCAGCCTAGCCAATCAAAAAAACACCTGATGACAGCCCACACTTGTCAGTCACTTGCCATGCACACATGAGGCAATCATTCCTCATTAGCAAGTGGGTTAAGGATAAAGACCATGAGGTCCTGCATTGAGTTACATTTCTTGCTATGGTATATAGACACTAACTGCTATCATCTCTCCTGTATCAGGAAATAATACTGGAGCATTCTAAAACTGTGTTTTCTTCAATCTTCAGTTTTCTACTTGAACAAAAGTTAACATGCTCCCTGAGTGCGGATTTGTCAGGAAATGTTTCCCCACATCCATCACATTTATACAGAATCTTCTTTTCTATGTTGATCTCGCCACTGCACTTGTGTACAGCTCTCTTGTGACTGATCAGGGGAGCCTCTCTGCTGTATACTTTCGTACATACATCACACTTGTAGATGACCTTGGCCTGATGTTTGCGCATGTGTGAAAGGAATCGATACCTGTCCGCACCGTGGTGTCCGCAAATGTCGCACTTGTACTTCTCATGGATGACCGAGTGTCGGCGCAGCAAGTACTCGTGTGCGAACTCCTTCCTGCAGACCTGACACACATGGTGCTGCTTCTTCCTGGCATGCACCTTGAGGTGAAAGGTCAGACTCTGCTGATGGTGGAAAGCTTTGTGACAGATGTTGCACTTTAATGGCTTCTCTGAAGAATGGATCTTAACATGATACTTGATGTATGTCCGCTGGATCTGGTTCTTGCATTCAAAACACTCCACAAAGTCCCCGTCTAAGGTTTCCATACTTTTATGAAACAACATGTGAGCCCCAAGGCCCCCAGGACTTCGACAAACCTCACCACAAATTTCGCAGCTTTTTTCAAAATTTGTTTCTGTGGACTGAGCTGTACCCTTGTCAAGATCATTTGCGGACCTTCGCTGGTTTGATATGATGGATGTTCCAGCCATGTTGCACTGGCTGCCTCCTGGGGGACTGACACCAACATCTTCCCGCGCACATCTGCTCACTGAAGGCAAGTCGTCAACTGGAGGGTTACTGACACTGCCATGGGATTCACTGGGTGAGTGGGAACACACTCTGGACTCAGCTTCATGTGTATCTAACAGCATTCTTTTCAACAGACCTCTAGCAGGGGGCACCTGTTCATCTGCCTCTCGTATCTGCTTCCTCACCTTGATGTAGTCTGACGGGTGCTGACCCTCTTGTCTCCCCCCGATGACAACCCCATGCAGCAGGAATCTCGACATGGGCGGAATGTGTTGGTCAGACATCTTTGTGTCCCGACTCCTAGAAGAGCCATCTACAGCTACACAAAGAGACATGGTATCTGAGTCCACATGTTCCCGCTTCACACCGTCACCAGCAGTGGGGACATACTGTGATGGTTTCAGTACACAGTCTTGAACTCCATCATGTTCAGTTCTGGTACCTGTCCTGTCATCACCTGACTTCTGATGAAGGGCTGGTTTACGACTGCCCGGTGTTCCTGGCTGGCCGCTGGCGCTCTGCTCACCGTGGCCCCCCCCCCACACCCCAGGGAGGGTGACACATACCTCCATGGGAACAGTCTCCTCACTCTCTTCCTGCTTAATCACTGTGCCATCAAACACTGTCATCTGTAGTTGGCCATCCATAGTGTCTAGTCATCTTTCCTCGCCTGGTGAAAAGAAACAAAGATACATACATAGAGAGATAGATAGATAGATAGATAGATAGATAGATAGATACTTACATACATACATACATACATACATACATACATACATACATACATACATACATACATACATACATACATACAGACAGACAGACACACAGACAGACACACATACATACCACGCCCGCACACGAGCTCGCACGCACGTATATATCATAGCGCACAATAAACAATGGGCATATATCATAGCGCACAATAAACAATGGGCATATATCATAGCGCACAATAAACAATGGGCATATATCATAGCGCACAATAAACAATGGGCATATATCATAGCGCACAATAAACAATGGGCATATATCAGAGCGCACAATAAACAATGGGCATATATCATAGTGCACAATAAACAATGGGCATATATCATAGCGCACAATAAACAATGGGCATATATCAGAGCGCACAATAAACAGCAAAGACAAGCTATTTTATGGATGGCAACTACTTTGTTCTATTATCATGTGCTGTTTTTGGTAGAGATCCTTATACCATTGTCACTAACAGCAAGAGTGTTTTCCATGACATCAGCATAAGGATCTCTACCGACACAGCACACAATCAACAATGAAACTGAGCGCCAGATTTAGTGAAAATGTCCAGTACACTGCTCATGTCCATTCAAAGGAGTGTGCTAACTCGTGTCACAACACGTGGAACTGGTACAATCTTTGTCAGTGACCCAATGCATCTCATTCAAATATGTAAATACAGTAAACTACATTTATAACGAACACGCTAATAACGAACTGACGAATATTACGAACTTATTTTTTTGCCCCGGCCACTGCTGTTTATATGCTACAGAACTTTGGTGATAACGAACTAAAATTCGTGGCCCCTTTGCGTTCGTTATAACCATAGTTTACTGTACTTAGAATTTCCTGCTTTTTATTTCATGGAAGTTAGATCCCATATCAAGAAGGTTGGGAAATTCTTTGATGCATGATAGATGCTGTTTTCACAAATCTTTTCCTTTGTAAGCGTGTATATATTACAATCAATTTGTAAAATGTGATTCTCTCAGGCAATTTATAAAATGTGTAAATATATCAGTCATTTTGACTGAAAAATCTTTCCATTTCTTTAACAGACTAACTAAAATTGATTAAGACGATCAAAAGGGCCTAAAAACATCACAATAGATTATTATGTAGGATTAGAAGCCAAATAATATAGAAATGTACTTTTCATCGTAACATTTTCAGTCTCTTCGTGATGATATTAAACATAAAAATGTTTGGAATTCATTGTCATAATAATACAGATGGACATATTTTTCAGTTAGTTTTGTAAAATAACTGAATATTCAGATGCTTCATAAATTTCCTAAGTGAAAAGTTTGCACATTTTGACTGCAAAAATATAAACACGATAAAATAAGCAATGCTCAGGAGAAATATTTACTTTGTATTGCAAGTCAAAATAGTGTAAACAAAAATCGCACAATTACTAAGCAAGTGACTTATCAAAACTTCATCACCATTACCGATGCTACCCACAAAGATACCTACATTTCCTTATTATTTCCCAAACTGTATAAATTTCATTTTGTTGACCAATGTGACCATACACCTTATACTATCAATAAAAGTGACAAATGTGCTTACGAACTGCGCAGCACAGGTCGGGAACTAGTCTAGGTTTCTGCTATATCATCCGGGTACTAATGGGAAAAAACAATAACAAAGGCAACAACCTGTCCCGGGGAATTGCTTTAGATCAGTACCCCTTTAATATAAACACTATATAATATGCAATATTTTTGTTTCCACATTTCGATACGTATTGAAAGAATTCCACGTTTTTGATTTACCAAAATCATCTTCGTGATGTTCAGTTGTGCACATTGTAACTTTACATAAACGTTCTATTCTAAACCAAACACCGCTCCTCCCGTCTGAGCAGATCTCATCTCAGTCTCTCCAGTTGAAATCCTGTTAGTCCTTCAAGCACCTGCCAATGTCGTAAAACATTACACTTCATTAATGTAAGGATGTCTTTCTGAGTAAATAATTATCACATGAATGCCGCAGTAACTTGTGTGAAATAACACTGATAAAACATGAAGCTTCAATTTATCATTTGGGTAGTTTTTATTGTCGTAAAGCAGTGGAAACGCATCCGTTTACGTTTTGATATGACCTTTGGGGGTCATGTTATGATTGTATAAGCAAATTCTGTCACTCAAACAGCTGAGTGATCCTGAGTGCCGTTGTTCCTGACATAACAGACCTCTCAACATGACACGAGACACGGATGGACACTGAGTAGTCGGTTAGTCGAGTGACTGTATCTGGATGGTTTATTGTGGAGAAAAAGTTTCTCGAACCTAGGTTTAGTTTAGGCTCATATTCTGGAAGTGTTTTGCGACAAGCGACAACAGATGGCCAAGAGCCGGTGAAATGTTGGCGAAGCTGTGGGACAGTCAGATTGTGCAGTCCGTAGTCTTCAGTCGGACATGATCACGTTTAGAGTGACGAGGTGGACTGACCTTCACTGAAAAGCTCGCGACACTGAGTGACCCACAATATACCCAGTAGTAGATCAGTGCTGTATCATAGAGCCTCATCGACGATAGCTAACATTTCAGGCCCCAGTTTGAAGTGATCCAACATTCCCTGTGTATATCTGCCTATTATTTCTAACATTAGGACCACCTACATGGTCCAGTGGATAGCACAGCAGAGAGTGGCAGGTCGGAGGTTCGATCCCCAGCGGTGTGATACCCAAAGACATACTAAAGTCTATTGGTACTTGTTGTTACCCTGCCTGACACCCTGCATTAAGGGGATAGAACAAGGCCTGGTAGGAGTTGGTATTCTAGGTCCGAGTGGGGTGTCCATGTTAAACTGAGGTATGGTATCTCGATTAGTGGGCTAGCATGCACTATAAAACCGGCATTATGTTCAGACTACCTTAGAAGGAAAGATTAACAAACAATGATGTTTTGTGGGATATAATGGACAGAGTAAGGAGGATGCAGGCGGGGGCGATAAGCAAGGTCCTACCACAGACTAGAAAATTGCATACAGACCCTATCTCGGGTTAAGTTGTCCCTCTGCCGTGTTTGGCAGAAAGGACCCATAGCAAAGGTACTGTCACACTCCGGAACGGAAACAATGGGCAGAAGGATTTGGGAATTTGGGGTGGGGTTGGGGGGGAAGAGGAGTTAAAATTGTTAACCGCCGGACGTGTTATGTTGTTAGAATGACTTGACGGTTGGGGAGTAAAAGTAGTGACGTCATAAGACCAAGGGTAGTGACATCATGGGAGAAATGATGTATGGTTGCTATGGGGGAGTATTTATAGCTTTGTAGTTATAGCATTGTTTGGTGGGGTATTGCGAGAGGCGTATGTTTGTAAACAAATGGTAAATGGGGATAGTTACTAGAAGTTATTATGCGGAGCTGACCATAAACTGATTTTCTGAATAATGCTGAATCATATCATGTTCAGACTACCCTAGAACTGAAGGAACACCTTTCTGAATAAGAAACTGGGATGTTAGGTCATGCATACCATGTCACCTTTGCCACATTTCTAATGCCGATGTAGACAACTTTGCCGTGCGAGGAGATTTCCCTATTAAGGAGAGATGAGCAATAAAATGCATGAGGTGATCGACCGGGGTGAGCCAAATGTGTGGCAGGCTGAAAGAGACGAGGAAAACATTACATGACTTTATTGCAGACTCATCAGGTTCCATGTGTTTAGTGCTAGAGAAGGGGCGGTCGGGTAGCCTAGTGTTTAAAGCGTTCGCTCGTCAAGCCGAAGACCCGGGTTCGATTCCCGACATGGGTACAATGTGTGAAGCCCATTTCTGGTGTCCCCCGCCGTCATATTGCTGGAATATTGCTCAAAGTGGCGTAAAACCATACTCACTCACTCACTAGTGCTAGAGAAGACTGCACTAGGCGTTGCACCTCTGTTGTCAGATCTGCCATATGTCCTGTTGTATGAGTGTTGGTATCTCACCTGCCTGCGGCATTACTTCCTTGAACCTGGACCACTGAAAAATCCCGAAAGTGAATCAGCTGTGACGTTTGCATGCGTAGGAACATAAGATGCTTTGAACAAGATATTATGTTGTAAACAGAGAAGTGTGAGGCGCCTAAGCAACGACATAACTCGGGGTGGTTTTGCTGTTTGTTTATTGATAATGGCTACCACTACTTGGTTGTCACAAACAAACAACACTCGCTTGTTTCGTAGATGTCTGTCCCAGTCTTACTGCCAATACAACATACAATTGGAAACAGCTCCAGCATAGTGATGTCCTTAGTCCATCAACTCTGCACCCACTCGTTAGGCTGTCTGCCAATTGCCCTTCGACCCATGAAAAAGGCTCTGACCATAAACCGATTTAGCTAAATAACCCTAAATCAAATTAGTCTGGACGGATACTTGTCGATCTGTACCCACAGAGATTTGTAGCTAACGAAAATGGCTTACACGTACCTAAAACTCTTGCAGATTCGAACCTGTTTTGGAGCATTCATTCTCTTTTTGCCTGACCCGTACCCAAATTTGGAGGACCCTAACAATATTCTTTTTAAAGCCAGATGTCCATTCTAAAATATGTTTCTTATCATTCATTCAGCACTAAATTCCCATGTTTTCAGACTTGCACTTTCACAGCAATTTATTCATGGGACTATTACATTTCCAAAATTCATTCATTTTACATTTCTAACATGTGGGCGGCCCATCATGTCTAGATTTGTCATCACCAGGTTCATGGTTTGTTCCCAGTTAGCTCAAAATCCCCCATTTGACCTCAAATGCGGTCAGTTGTAATCAGAGGTGTTAATTGGCTGAACAACAGCTGAACAACAGCTGAACGACAGGGGCTTATAGTATAGACTGATGCATCTCCTGACATAGTGTGTGTGAAAAATAATAAAAAAAACAATTTTATTTTTATTTCTAGATTTATTTATTTTATGTACAAAATTAATAATAGTTTTCAGATACATAAAGACACATGACACTCATTGGGCATTTGGGTACAAATACTAAAAGTCAGGATCTTCATGGGAGGCAGCATCTAGATAAAACATAAGTCCAATGTCTGCATCTTGAAACTATGTTCTCAAGTTATCGAGTCCGTCATTCTTTGTGGGTGTTTCTTTTTTGGCTGCTGACAGTCAACATTAAGCAGTATTGTACCACCCTTTGTGTAGGCATGAACTGGACTTGAACTCGAGCGTCTGCCGTAATGGTTATGACCTCAACTTCGTAACCATGGTAACTTGATCTTAATATACCTAGCCAGGATTTTGGCTCACGTAAAGTAACAACAGATACAGATGATTATCACTCCCAATATCTGCACTAACAACAACATTGAGAAGATTGGGAATCAAAACTTTCCTAGGTGACGGATGTTCACTCAAAATTCAACTGTCAAATGCTAACTTCAGCTTCTAAGTTAACTAGCGTTCCCCTGTCAGGAACAGACTATAACCTCTCAGTCCTAATCCCCTTAATCCTACCGAATTTCAATTTTGAGCTAACTGGGAAGATCCTGTGCTCTTGGGTTTCACCAAAGTCGTAAACGTCTGAGACCTGCATCACTTCGGACTTTCCTCCCACATCAAGCTGACACGCCGTTATATAACTGGAATACTGTTCTAAGTGGCATTATACCCTACTCACCACTCACCTGCTCACTCACTCTCACATTAGGACACAACCTCTACTGTCACCTTTCCACATACATCAGTGTTCTCGATGTGTACTGTTGGGAAACATGGCCGTAGTCTTACTCAGCTTATTATTAAATACATTCTTCAGAAGAGTAAACTAACTACACAGCATTGTCTCTGTTGCTATACAGCCCTTGCAAGTCAGTTCCTGATATTGCCAGCTTCCTGTTCCACTGGTGCTTGTCCCCAATCTCGTTTCCCCACTGATCATGCTCTGCCTCATCCAGGTCGTGTGACATTCTGGGATGCTGTGACAGATGACAGTGTGCAGCTAAGAGAGGAGGATGTTTGCTGTCTGTGGACGTCTGAAACACACCAGGACTGGTGGTCACAGTCCCCCTAGCTGGCAACTTGTCACCCAGTGCATCAGGTGAGTAACTGGGGGATTATTCTGTCTGAAATATGTTTGAGAATATCCTGAAATCTTCAGTGAATGAACCTACATAATAACTGCTGTTGATGATGGGAATGTTTTATATGTAGGCTATTGATTTCTGATGGAACACAACACACTCAGGTATACCATCCATCAGGCCCTTGTTCAACCCGCTGGATGCCCACTTATGTTTTCTGACGCACATTTTCATAAGATCTGAAATGTGAAGGTTGTGTGAGAATTTTCACTGGATGTACTTTTGGCTATAAATATTATGCAGTGATGTAGAATATTGAGTTTGGCTGCAAATATTAAACCTGTTTGAAACATCAGACACTCTATATGTTGTCTGAGCTTTTGTTCTGCGTTAAAAAACAGCAAATGTCTCTGCTTTTTATCATACACCGATAAAATAACTGTGCGGCGATTGTTTTTATTTAGCAGCTTTACGGAAACTGTGAGTGAACAAAATACTGCCTAATATCTGAATGACATAAATAAGATTCAAATGGATTTATGTTCTTATGTATAGCGTTATACATTCAATACAAAACATATAGTCTGATAGCCTGCCGTTAATGACGAAAGAGAGGTTACACACATACACAGAAAAGGGGGCATAACTCCGCTATGCTTAGCACTAGTTTATTGTACCTCAGGTCATTTGGTGAGAATTAGCTGTGTGTAAGGACAATATATTTTCGTGGTGTTTTGTTCACAAGGTACCAACTATTCCAACACAAATATCGATATTGAAACTGTATATGTTTAAAAAGACCCATAAGAAATAATGAAATCATACTTCATTAAAAAGGCAGTAATAGCGAAATGGATGGCCCTATCTAACATATAAATTATGCCTTAGATTTCAACATTCACCAGATTCTGTAAGTGTAATTTGACAAATGTTGCACCATTATTAATGGAGCACTAGCCTTATCATCCAATGTAATGAATTACTGAAAAACTGACCCCCATTTTATTTTATGGCATTGCTGATTTTATGTTTGTGATGACTTTGGAGAAAGACGACCCTGGTATTTTGATTATATACATCTCACCTAATTGTTTTCATGGTATAGAAAATCTGAATTTGATGCTTTTTGGACCCAACATAAAATAGATAAACAAATTTATCATATAATGGGTTTCTCGGCAGGATAAGGCCAACGGATAAAAACGATATCCGTTTGGGTCATATGCGGATAGAGATGCAAATATCAAAGGTCAAGTAGGGACTACTTTCACTGTTTATAAACAACATGGCGTCGTTCTCGTCATTCGGCGATCGAGTCAGAATTAACCATCGGGAATCTGGATAAACTACAGGGATAATTGCTATCATTATCAAAAGAACAGTCTAATATACTGAAAATCAGTGTCTAACTGTGACGTAGCTAAGGCATTTTATAAGTTTTGGCAACTTTGGAGATATAAATTTCGAAACAATTTTGCGAGGGCACGAGTCCTAGCCAAGTGGGATCAGTAGCCATATCTGTGCTTGTAGACCTCTGAGGCTTGAAAAAATCTCCACAAATTAATATAGTTGGATTTGGCCGAAACATGTTTGAATTGTTACCTTGTTTCGTTATGTCGCTGTGTGTACATCTGACTACACTTCTTATCGTTATGACAAGTCAGACGACTGTCAACAACGTCTGACCGTGGCCGTGACGTTTCATAGACTAGGGTTAGGGTAGCTTCCCTTTGACAAAGGGCAGTTACTCTAGCGGACAGACCGATGGATTGCCGCGAAAGGCAATTACAAAAAATTGTTGTTTTGCATATATGTTGCTTCGCCACTGTATAAGAAACAGATTTCAGTTGGAACTATATTGGTTACTGTCACTGTCCGACTGACACATCACTTACCCTGTGACATAATAAATATTAATGCGCACATTCCAGGATAACTCGCAATGTTTCGGTAATGTTTGTGAGAGAGGGAAAGCGATTTTGAAGCACAGAATTAAAGAATGACATTATATGATATATACCATTATATACCATCCCTAAACACACTCGCGTGATAATCTCTATTGATAGTTTATGGTGTATCTCATGTGGACAAGACACGCACCTGTTTGGCATCAATTTTATGTAATCAAATACCCAAAGAGTATTTCAAAACAAACAAAAATATTTTCAATGTTTGACATGTGTTTGTTCTTTATTATGTGATTATTTCTCTTCAAATCATGTCAGAATTATATAAGAAAAGATGCTCAGAAAGCTCTTTTGGTATATAGAATTATCAGGATAATCGTATAAGGTTCAACCACAAGGGAACATAACACAGTTTATATTTACAATTTACAATTCTTGGAGAAATAAAGTAAACAGTTTAATATCCTGTGATCACAATATTTAAAAAAGGGTGAACTCGATGATATAATACAAAATGAGAGAATAATCTGTAGATCCTATGTGACTCACATGCACCTGGCTCCGTTCTGTCCATCAAAAGATATAAAAAACAATTTTAAGACCAAGACAATTCTTCTAAACATGTTTGCATATATATGTAACAAAAAAAAATTACCCATTTTGTTTAAGTAATATAATCAGTTTTAGTTTTAAAATAAAATGAAACATGTGGTTTGTTAGCCTGTTTATATGAAATACAAAAATTGACTAATGCACTCCAAATAAGTACATGTTGAAGTAACATTTACATGTCATCTTTTAACACCTGTCTAAAGGAAAACATATCATATACGACACTATGAACATGTCAATTTCTTATGTAAACAATGTTAAAACAAACAGCAGATTATCAAAGGTTCATATTTTTTGTGGCCTTAATATACATATGATGTCATATTAAACATTGATGAATGTCAACCTGGAAAAGGGCCCCCTACATGAATGTATTCATTGATGAGTAAAGTACTGGAACACAGTACATGTATTGGACTACTGTTGGACTGCCTTGATGAGTAAAGTACTGGAACACAGTATTGGACTACTGTGGGACTACCTTGATGAGTAAAGTACTGGAACACAGTATTGGACTACTGTGGGACTACCTTGATGAGTAAAGTACTGGAACACAGTATTGGACTACTGTTGGACTACCTTGATGAGTAAAGTACTGGAACACAGTATTGGACTACTGTTGGACTGCCTTGATGAGTAAAGTACTGGAACACAGTATTGGACTACTGTGGGACTACCTTGATGAGTAAAGTACTGGAACACAGTATTGGACTACTGTTGGACTACCTTGATGAGTAAAGTACTGGAACACAGTATTGGACTACTGTTGGACTGCCTTGATGAGTAAAGTACTGGAACACAGTATTGGACTACTGTTGGACTACCTTGATGAGTAAAGTACTGGAACACAGTATTGGACTACTGTTGGACTACCTTGATGAGTAAAGTACTGGAACACAGTATTGGACTACTGTTGGACTACCTTGATGAGTAAAGTACTGGAACACAGTATTGGACTACTGTTGGACTACCTTGATGAGTAAAGTACTGGAACACAGTATTGGACTACTGTTGGACTACCAGTGTGTGCATAATACACACATACAGTGAGCTTGATTCTGTTTCACAATGTGAAGACGTTATTGTGAGCACACAACACCGGAAGCAGCATGTCGACACATCGGTACAGAAGTACACAAGTCAGTTCTGTCATGACACTATCTGGCTACAGAAGTACACAAGTCAGTTCTGTCATGACACTATCTGGCTACAGAAGTACACAAGTCAGTTCTGTCATGACACTATCTGGCTACAGAAGTACACAAGTCAGTTCTGTCATGACACTATCTGGCTACAGAAGTACACAAGTCAGTTCTGTCATGACACTATCTGGCTACAGAAGTACACAAGTCAGTTCTGTCATGACACTATCTGGCTACAGAAGTACACAAGTCAGTTCTGTCATGACACTATCTGGCTACAGAAGTACACAAGTCAGTTCTGTCATGACACTATCTGGCTACAGAAGTACACAAGTCAGTTCTGTCATGACACTATCTGGCTACAGAAGTACACAAGTCAGTTCTGTCATGACACTATCTGGCTACAGAAGTACACAAGTCAGTTCTGTCATGACACTATCTGGCTACAGAAGTACACAAGTCAGTTCTGTCATGACACTATCTGGCTACAGAAGTACACAAGTCAGTTCTGTCATGACACTATCTGGCTACAGAAGTACACAAGTCAGTTCTGTCATGACACTATCTGGCTACAGAAGTACACAAGTCAGTTCTGTCATGACACTTTCTGGCTACAGAAGTACACAAGTCAGTTCTGTCATGACACTATCTGGCTACAGAAGTACACAAGTCAGTTCTGTCATGACACTATCTGGCTACAGAAGTACACAAGTCAGTTCTGTCATGACACTATCTGGCTACAGAAGTACACAAGTCAGTTCTGTCATGACACTATCTGGCTACAGAAGTACACAAGTCAGTTCTGTCATGACACTATCTGGCTACAGAAGTACACAAGTCAGTTCTGTCTTTACACTATCTGGCTACAAAAGTGTTCATTGTGTATCTGGACATGCGTTGTAATCCATTATATTACTTTTGTCCAAGATTTCATTCAATTCTGTTTACATTAATTTCAGCGAAATCTTGTATGAACTGATTGGCAACATGAAATCAACTCACCATGAATCCACCTTGAAATGAACATTAGTTGTTAGAGATACAGAGTCTTCGGTCCTCCTATCAATTCCTATGAAATTGGGTATCGCGGTACTTGTCATGTACGCTAAAAGGAACAAAAAGCACTCACTCACCTTTATGATTATTCGTGATCTGTATATCAGATATCATTCATGTTATCAAACAATGCATATTTTACTGATAAAAGTTCATTATTTACATTAGTAGCTCCGAGTAAAAGCCGGGCCTCGCGCTCTGTTTGACAAGGGAGAGAACTCCATCGCATTGCGGTACAGAGAAAAGTTGTGTATGGAGGTCAGAATTGGACAAAAAGAGGACATAATTCTACCAACC